TCTTCTGGCCAGAGACTGGCTCCCTGTCCTTGAAAGAGTAGTAGGCGTGTCTCGAGCCAGTAGATGGCATGGCATGGTGGTTAAGAGTGCTGGACTCTCACATGGCCGACTGTGGTTCGAGTCCTGGACCTGGAGGCTTGCTCTTTCTCTCTCTCTCTCTTTTTCTCTCTCATGCTCACTTGCTCTCTCTCTGGTCAAATTTTTAAAAATAAAATAAAGCTAAATGAACTAATTCTTTAAATAAAAATAATAAAAGAGGGACCAGCAGTTGGCATAATAGCTATGTCGCTGGACTCCCATGTGGTCAACCATGGTTCAAGTCCCAGACCGGGTGGCTTAAACTCATGCCAGGCACATCTGCATGTGTGTCCAAGATCCCAAGAGAAAGGAGGAGAAGGGATTGCAGCGTAGCCATCCCCCTTGGGGGGTGATTTCTCACTTTCTGTCTCTCTGTCTCTCTCTTTCCTTCTGGCGAGTGCACACGCCTTATACCAAAAACCTCTCAAAAAATAATAATAAATTTAAAAAAGAAAAGAGTAGTAGGCGTGTCTAGCACAGAAGGCAAGGAGTGGCCAGCGTGGTCTCTTAGGCTCATCCTGGCTAGGGAGGTAGGAGTCTCATTCCCACCCTGGATGTTCTTCCTCCAAGCCCCACCAGTCCCTCCTCTCTGCCCCCAAACTCCAGAGATACTTTACCCTGTTTCTGTTCTCTGCCTTGGGTCCCCCTTCCTCCTCCACCAACCCCGTTTCTGCCCTTGCAACCAGCTGCTCTCTCCCAGGCACCAGTGACTTTCTTCGACACCACACCCTCGGGCCGGATCCTGAACCGTTTCTCCTCCGATGTGAGCTGTGCAGATGACAGCCTGCCCTTCATCCTCAACATCTTCCTGGCCAACGCAGCAGGCCTGCTGGGCCTTCTGGTTGTGCTGGGCTCCGGCCTGCCCTGGCTGCTGCTGCTGCTGCCGCCTTTGAGCATCATCTACTACCGGGTGCAGCGCCACTACAGGGCCTCCTCTCGGGAGCTGAAGCGCTTGGGCAGCCTCACGCTGTCTCCACTGTACACCCACCTGGCCGACACCTTGGCCGGCCTCCCTGTGCTTCGTGCTGCCGGGGCCACCGACAGGTGTGTGAAGTCTGCCTTTCCAAACCAGAGCCCCAGAGATGAGGGGCTGGGGAGCATGTGGGGAGGGAGGTTCCTAGAGAAGAAGGGAGGGTGAGGAGTGCTCTAGGTAAAAGAGGAAAATCAGGAGATAGTGAAGCAGAGCAGATCCCCCTCTTCAAAAGAACGCACTGGCACATCTGGTCCCTGAGATGAGGCCCATGGTGGGTAGCTAGCCCCCACGAAGGAGGTATTCTGTAGGGATGGAGTCTGCCCCAGTCGGGATGGCAGTGGAGTGACCTTGCTTCCTTGCCGGCCTTCCCCAGGTTTGAGGAGGAGAACCAGCGTCTCCTGGAGCTAAACCAGAGGTGCCAGTTTGCTGCCAGTGCCACGATGCAGTGGCTGGACATTCGGCTGCAGCTCATGGGGGCAGCAGTGGTCAGCGCCATCGCAGGCATCGCCCTGGTGCAGCACCAGCAGGGCCTTGCTAACCCAGGTCAGCCCTTCAGGAGCAAGTTGTTCCCACCTCTGGCCCCCAAAAGGCCACTGTCCTTGCACTGTCACTCTGACATTTCACTTCCCGCCCAGGGCTCCCTGTGAGAATGTCTCATGGTTGTCATCACCAGGCCCGTTTTAGAGCTGAGGAGACTGAGTCTCCAGGTGTGACCTGCCCAGGTGGTGGTGGGTCTAGGGCTAGAACAAGTCTTCCTTTCCTGCTCCTTCCCACCATGTTGCCCTGGCCTACCTGACTTTCGTTCCTCATCCGACAGAGCTGCTCCAGGCCCACTCTGCTCCCTTCCCTCCAGCCTCCCATAGTCTGGGCCTAAGCCTGGTCATCTCCCTGCTTCTCTGCTGGTCTCCTTTTTTTTTTTTTTTTTTTAAAGAATTATTTTCTTTCTTTCTTTAGTTATTATCATCATTATTCTTATTTTTAAAGAATTATCTTATTTAACATTATTTATTTATTTATTTATTTAAATTTGACCAGAAAGGAACAGAGAGAGAGAGAGAGAGTGAGAAATTAAGCTGCCAGGTCTGGGCCTCGAACCAGGGTCAGTCAGATGTGGGAGTCCAGCATCCTTAGCCACCACGACACCTGCCAGCCCCAATCAACATTATTCTTTAATTTGACCAGAGAGAGAGACAGAAAGAAGGAAAGTGAGAAAGCAAACCACCAGATCTGGGACTTAAACTGCAGTTGACCATGCGAGAGTCTAGCACGTTAACCACCACACTACCTGCCAGCCCCTCTGCTGCTCTTTTTCAAATGCCCACAATCCTCAGCTTGGGATTCTCCTGTTCTGGCCCCCACATCCCACCAGTCCCCGTGTCAAGCTTCCCCTCACAACTGGTGCTCCCCTCTCCAGGGCTGGTGGGCCTGTCGCTGTCTTACGCCCTGTCCTTAACGGGCCTGCTCTCAGGCCTGGTGAGCAGCTTCACGCAGACAGAAGCCATGCTGGTGAGCGTGGAACGGCTAGAGGAGTACTCCTGTGACCTGCCCCAGGAGCCTCGGGGCCAGCCGCTGCAGGTGGGCCAGTATTCCCACCCAAGGGCCCTCCAGAAGGGTCCAGCCTCCTCCTGGCTCCTTTCCTTTTGCTCCTCACCATCTTGTCAGCCCCTCTCTGCATGACCGCCTCCATTCTTCCCATGTCCTTCATCTGTCCTTCCTGTCTCGTCGTTGTCCCCACTTCCCTCTCACACTGTCTCATTATTCTCTCCTTCCACCCTCCAACTCCCTCCTGACCATCGCTCCCCCATCTTACCCATCTCCTTCCACCTCCCACCCACGGACCCCACCAGCTGGGCACCGGCTGGCTGACCCAGGGGAGCGTGGAGTTCCAGGACGTGGTGCTGGTGTACCGGCCCGGACTGCCGAATGCCCTGGACAGGGTGACCTTCCGCGTGCAGCCTGGAGAGAAGCTGGGCATCGTGGGCCGCACGGGCTCCGGCAAGTCTTCCCTGTTGTTGGTGCTCTTCCGGCTGCTGGAGCCCAGTTCAGGGCGAGTGCTGCTGGATGGTGTGGACACCAGTCAGCTGGAGCTGGCCGACCTCAGGTCTCGGGGAGGGGAGAGGGTGGTCAGAACTGCTGGCCTCAAGGAGGGCACAGCTGGGAAGCCTTCCTGTAAAGCCAGGGCCGCCGGGGCAGATGGGAGGGTGAGATGGAGGACAGGATGCTCAGTGAGGACAGCAGACGCCTAGTGCCCAGGTCCAGGCTCATGGTGGTCTCAAGGGCTTTCTCCCCATGATCCAGGCCACCTTCCCAGCTTCCTCTCTTCCACTTCCCAGCATCCCTCTAGACCGCTAGTCACAACCTTCTAAATCAGAGCCTCCCAGGCACTGCCTGAGAGCTGATCCCCTCACCCTCAGGTTCATCAGGTGGTCCTTAGGACGCCTTGGGACCTGGGCCAGTTGTCTCCCACCCCTCCCCCCAGGTTAACCCAGCATCACTTTCCCTGAGTTCCATGGATGAAGGGGTGGGAAACTGTCCTTTCTTTTTTTTTTTAAGAATTATTTTTATTTAACTTTATTTCTTTTAATTTGACCAGAGAGTGACAGAGTGAGAGAGAGAGAGAGGAAAAGTGAGAAAGCAAACTACCAGGTCTGGGATTCAAACCACGGTTGGCCAGTGCCTTTAACCACCACACCACCTGCTGGCCCCGGGAAGGTTTCTTAAAGCCCTGAACACATTACTGATCCCAGGCCCAGCCTTGCCTCGTCTACCTTCTCTCGTCTAGGCTGTGTTGGCCTTACCTTGACCATAGCTTGACCATATAGCCCCGTACACCCAGCTTCAGGTCCACTCCAACTGAAGGGCCCTCTACGCATCAGCCCTCTGCTCATCCCCTGCCTAGCCACTCTGTCCCCGGAGTCAGTGCCACACAGTATTGCCATTCATTTTGTACCTTGGAGTCATGCAGGCTCTTTAAAGACAGCATCTAGGCCTTCAGTTTCTTTGATGTGGTGCAGCACGGCACAGGGTTAGTACAGGGCTGACCAAGCTGGTCATTCAGTGGGGTGGAGTAGGGAACCAAGTGGGGTTATATTCGGGTCTCATCCCCAGGCTTTCCCAGAGATGCTTGGCCTATAACTAATGCTCCATGCTAGGAGCAGAAATGGCCCCACCTCCAGCCTGAACCCCATGTCCTTGTCCCCAGATCCCAGCTGGCCATCATCCCCCAGGAGCCCTTTCTGTTCAGTGGGAGTGTTCGGGAAAACCTGGACCCCCGGGGCCTGCATGAAGACAAGGCTCTGTGGCAGGTCCTCGAGCAGTGCCACCTGAGCGAGGTGGTTGTATCCATGGGTGAGCGCTGGGCCCTGACCCTGAGAGCAGGGAGGGGGCATGGGGAGGCCTGGACCCTGTGCCAAGATGCTCTGCCTTATAGGTGGTCTGGAGGCCAAGCTGGGTACAGGGGGCCGGAGTCTGTCCCTGGGGCAGAGGCAGCTGCTGTGTCTGGCCAGGGCTCTCCTCACAGATGCCAAGGTAAGGTGGGAGGAGATGTTTGAGATGATGCTGGCAGATGTCAGGGTAAAGAGGTGGGTTGAGAGAGGTTAGTTTTCCTTTTTTGAGTCAGAGGTGCGGGGTAGGCTGGGCCCAGCCAGGGCCTGACGCTTGGGTCTAGCCTGCCCTACGGCCTCCACCTCACTCCCTGGCCCACCACACATTATAGGTCCTGTGTATCGATGAGGCCACAGCAAGCGTGGACCAGAAGACAGACCAGCTGCTCCAGGAGACCATCTGCAGACGCTTCGCCAACAAGACAGTGCTGACCATTGCCCACAGGTGTGCAGGTGCCCAGAGTGAGGGCCAAGCAGGGACGCTGGTGGCATGGACCAGAGCCTCCTTGCCTTTCAAGGACCTGGGGATCAAGCCCTAGAGATGCCGCTCCCTGCCCCCCTTACAGATCTCAGCTCCTCTCCTCCACGCACAGATCTGAGCCCTTTACAGCACATGTGACATCCTAGTTCCTCCCCCAGGACGGAGTCAAGGGCTGGGGCCTGTGGGAACAGACCTGTGTCTGGAGGGGAAAGGAAGGAAGGCAGGTCGGGTTTCTCCTTTAGGGTGTTACCCCCCCACCCTCGCACACACACCGCCTTCTCCCACACAGGCTCAACACGATCCTGAACTCCGACCGGGTACTGGTGCTGCAAGCAGGGAGGGTCATGGAGCTGGACTCCCCTGCCACCCTGCGTAACCAACCCCACTCGCTGTTCCAGCAGCTGCTGCAGAGCAGCCAGCAGGGGGCCCCAACCGCTCCCTGAGGGCCCTGAGCCGGTTCCCTGCCCTGGGAGCTCACTCCTCTCTGATCCGCAGCTGGGCCGGGACAGAGGCCCTGGTGGTTAGTTTACATTCTCCTCTGTGGCTCTACCTCTCCCTTACTTCTCCGGAGGAGAAAAGGCACCCTGAGTCGCTCCCCGGAAACCACTCCTGGTGGGTAGAGTCCCAAGGCGTCCTCAGAACCAGGCCTCTCTGCTCTGGCCTTCTAGAATCTGGGACCCCAGGCAAGTGTTTTCTGGCATAGGAGCCCATTTGCATTTTCATAGTTTTTATTTGATAAAATTCCCATCTTACATTCTGTGCATTAAAAAAATAATATTTCTGGTGTGAGGCTGAGGTCCCCTCAGCGTGTGTACCTGGGCTGAGGAGTGGCGAGAAAGGACCGTTCCAGTCTGAGGGTTGGAAGAGGTAAGGAAGGGGGCCAGACAGCCCCCGCCTCCGTCACAGTTCTGTGGTCTTTCCAGGCTCGGGCAGGTCAGGCGGCAGGGGGGGCCCTGCTGGCAGCATGCTGACCTGACACTCCTGGTCCTGGCACGCGGGGGCATAGTGTGGGGCCGGGTACCAACACGGTCCAGGGGGGCAGATGCCCCGGCGCCAGGCCCTCAGGGTCAGCAACACGGTGGCCAGGACCAGGGCGGCAGTGAGAGCCCCAAACACCACCAGAGCCACCAGGCTCGACTCACCGAGCCCGGCCTCTTGCCTTCGCACTACCTCCTTCACGGAGATCCGCAGCAGGCCTGCTCCTGCGCTGTGGGAGGCAGGCCCTGTGGCAGGAACCACCACAGCTGTGGTGGGCCTCACGGGGGTGTCCACTGTCGTGGCGGGGTCCAGGACAGGTAGGACAAGCTCACAAGTCTTGCCACCATAACCACTGGGACAGAGACAGTCAAAGTCGTGGACGCGGTCCCGACAGCGGGCCCCTCTCTGGCATGGGCGGCTGGCACAGTCATCCAGGTTAACGGTGCAGAAGCGTCCAGCAAAGCCCTCAGGGCAGAGGCAGGAGAAGCGGTTTATGCCGTCCAGGCAGGTGGCACCATTAGCACAAGGCCGCATCAGGCAGTCGTCCACATTCACCTCACAGTGGGCCCCCACAAAGCCCGCCAGGCAACGGCACGTGAAGTTGAGGGCAAAGCCCTTGTCGTCCTGGCACTGCCCGCCGTTCCGGCATGGAGATCTGCAGTGTGGATGGGGAGCACATTAAAAGCAGCTTATTACCCCTGCAGGACAGCCCTGGTCAGTATCCTGACCACCGCCCCTTCCTAGCTATGTTACCCTAGGCCACTGTCTCTGACCCTCAAATACTTCATTTTAAAAAATGAGGATAAAAATAATGCCCAGCTAGGGACCAGCAGTTAGCGTAATGGCTATGTCGCTGGACTCCCACGTAGTCGACTGCGGTTCGAGTCCTAGACCTGGTGGCTTAAACTCACGCCGGGTGCGTGTGCGTGCGTGCCCAAGATTCCGAGAGAATGGAGGAGAAGGGATTGCAGCATGGCCATGCCCCCTGGGGGATGATTTCTCGTTTTCTATCTCTCTGTCTCTCTCTGTCTGTCTGGCGAGTGCACGCGCCCTATAGCAAAAACCTCTCCAAAAAAATATATATATACCCAGCTTCTCAACTTGTGATGCTTAGATGAGATAAGCAGCAGTTAGCACAGGGTCTGGCCCAAAAGCAGGACTCAGAATAAGTATGCTATTATTGTACCCACGGCTCTCAAGCCTTGAGCAGAAATGAGGACAAGTCCAGCCCTGCCGGCCGTTCCCTCATCCTCACCCACACAAGGAGACGTAGAGCCGCCATGTGGGATATCTTTAAGGGCTGCGTGTCACCCCTCCTGGGAGGTGACATGCAGGGGAGTCCTAGGCCCTCCCACTCTCTGCCCACCCTCCCCAGAGCCCCTCATTGATCTTTTACCCTCTAGTTCCTACAGATCATTGTTGAAAGGAGTTGGGAAACCCTGATGGGGATCCTTTGGCATGCTGGGGGCCCCCCCATGTGGGGCTGAACCTTAGTCCGCCACCCTCAACAGTCCTGTAGTTCGTTAACCCGTCATCAGTTTCTGGTATGACTTGCTACTCACCCTGCCTGCTCACAGGGCCCGGCCTTGCGCTCACAGTCACGCCCATGGAAGCCTGGTGGGCACACACAGTGGTACTCCCCACCCCCGTCATACACGCACTGGCCTCCGTTCCGGCAGGGGGACTGCGTGGTGCAGACGTGCTCATCTGAAGAGGAGACAGACGGCTCTGAGACAGTCCCTCACGTCCAGTTCCCAGACCTGTCCGGCCCTGTCCAGGCCAAGGCTGGGATCATACAAACCCACCCTCAGCTGGCACGACATACTGGGGGGAAACAGCACTGAATTTGGGTTCACAAGACTACAAATATGTTAGTTTGTCTCAAACTGACTTTGGGCAAGACAAAGCTCTTCTGTGGGCCTCAATTTCTTCATGTGCAAAAAGGACCAATTTAGGAGACCAGCAGATGGTGTCATGGTTACATCACTGACTCCCATGTAATCAACTGCTGTTCAAGTCCCAGACCCAGTGGCTTAAACCTCCCTCCAGGTATGTGTGCATGTGTGCCCAAGATCCCGAGAGGAGAAGGGATTGCAGCCTGGCCACCCCTTCTGGAAGGTGATTTCTCGCTTTTTGCCTTTCTGTGTCACTATCCCTCCTGCAAGTGCACACACGGCCCATGGCAAAAATCTCTCTCTAAAAAGAAAAAAAAAAAAAAGTACCATTTTGGAGCCAGTGGTGTAGTAGTTAAAGTGGCTAGGCCCTACATGGCTGACTGGACAGTTCAAGTCCCAGACCTGGTGGTTTGAAAACATACCAGGTGCATGTTCGTGTATGCCCAAAATCCCAAAAGGAGAGAGATGGAGTAAAAGGGGCTGGAGTGTGACCTCCATGGGGTATTTCTCATTTTCCTTCTCTATTCCTTATCCCTGGCAAGCACATACATCCTCTGGTAAAAAAAAAAAAAAAAAAAAAACTTTTTAAATTTTTTGTTACAGGGTGTGTGCTCACCAGAAAGAGAGAAGGAAAGTGAGAAAGCCTCCCCCCAGGGGATCTGGCCACACGACACATACCACAGTCTCTTCTCCACTCTCCTCTCGGGATTTTTGGGCATGCACGTACACATGTGTCATGTGATTTTAAGCCACTGGTCAGGGACACAGACGGCACAGTTGGCATGTGGGATCCAGCCACCTTAACAACCATGCCACCGGTGGCTGGTCCAAAGAAAGTACAATTTTTAGCAGCTGCCAATCCTACTTCAGGGACATGTCAAGGATCAATTCAGGCAAAGGATAGGTTATAAAATTTAAAAGTTATAAACTAGGCTGGTGTGGAGGTTAAGGTGGCTGGATCCCATATGGCTGACTGTGGTTCAAGTCCTGGACCCAAAGCTTAAAAACCACACTGGACAGGTGTGCGTGCATGTCCAAAATCCTGAGAGGAGAATAGAGAAGGGACTGCAGCCTGATCACCCACCCCACCCGCAGGTGCTTCTCTCTCACACACAGGCCTTACAGCAAAATCAAAAGAAAAAGCGATAGACTATGTACTTGAGAGTTTGAACAGGATATAATAGGCACTCAATAAACACTGATGGATATTCTTTCAAGACACACGGAGTCTCCAACCAACTCCCTCCCCCTACCTTTGTCACAGAACTTGCCCGCCCAGCCACTGTGGCAGATACACTGCCAGGGCTGGTGGCAGGTGCCATGCTGGCAGCCAGGCATCCTCACACAGCGTTCACAGTGCAGCCCCTCCCAGCCCGGGTCACACCTGATGGGGAGAAGCACAGGGTCAGTGGTTTGCATGAGAGATGCAGGGAAACGGAGGAGGCAGAACCAGAGCGTCTAGGAACCGGGACAGTGACAGCCCCTCAGGGAAAGCAGACCTGTCCCAGGTGAGTGTAGGGCTGTGCAGGGTCGTAGGATTTTTCCACGGGGCCAGACATCTGTGTCCGAGTCCCGTTCTGCACTGGTGCCACAGTAGTCATATCCGAGGTATCACATTTTTAAAAGCGTGACCTTGTAAGGTCGTGACTATTTTCCACCCCTGTTCTGAGCATACGCTTTACCTCTTTTTTGAAGTCCTCCAAGGATGTGGTCTCAAGCACTCAGCCACCTGAGCGACCTTCCCTGTCAACTGATTTTCTTATGCCCACTTTCCTCCTGCTACGGGATTTGCCCCTCGTCCTCCCGGTGAGTCAGCTTCTCAGGTTCATCTAGAAAGATCCCCTCCCTGATAAGTGCAGCAGCTCTCCCTGCAGCTTTTTCTAGCTTCAGTCTTGTTATCTCTTTTCCGTATTTCTCCCTTTCCTCAGGGCTCCCAGTCTCCAAACTCTCCCAAGCTTCAGGGCTCTCTCTGCTGGTGTCTTGAGCAATGTTTTCAGAATCCCAGAACAGACAGGAAACTACAGAAGTGAGGAGATACAAGCTAGAGGAAGCAAAAGAGAAGCAAGGCAAAGGGGGATGGGGGCGGGGAGGCTGGCCAGTCTGGCCTGCGTGCCACTGGGGCCATGGGGCAGTGAACAGTAGGATCTTAAGCCCCCAGACGCTGTCCTGCGACCTGACCTACTTGTGGAGGTAGAGCTGAGAAGTGGGGAGTGAAGTGTTTGGGGGCACATGCTCAGGACAGGTACCTGCAGGAGCCGTCAGGTGCACAGCAGCCGTGGGCCAGGTCACAGTGGGAGCTGCAGTCATCGGCTGCAAGAGAGCGATGGGGGAGGGGAGAGTCTGGGTCAGGGCACAGCTCTCTGGTATCCTCTCTTGGGGGAGGATTCTGGCTTCCACTAATGGGGTGGACTCGGCTCTGGCAAAGGGCAACACACCCAACCCATTCCAAAGGGGGCCCTGGGCCTCCCCAACCGCGCGGGTCGGAGCGGCTGCAGTGCCACCTCTGGCCGGCAGAGGTCAACGTGCAAGCGAGGACCGCTGGACAGAGCCGCGACCGGAGCCCGGGGCGCTCACCTCGGGCAGGCTGACCAGGTGCCCCCAGGATGTACAACAGGCACACGAGGTGTAGGCGCCAGCCGCTGGGCAGGGCCAGCGCCGGCCCCGGGAGGGACCGACAGACGGACGGACGGACACGTGGACACCTGTGGGACGGCGCCGGATGGGAGGCTTCTGGACGCGGAGAGAGCAGCAGGGATGACACACGCGGGGACAGAGGAGGGAGGTGGAGCAGCGGCAGCGCCGGGCGCGGAAGGGTTGAGCAGGCCGGGGACTGGGGACAGGAACGCGGGAGCCGGGAATGCGTGGAGGCGGCGAAGGATGGGCAGCGCGGGGCGAGGCCGGGCGCGGGACCCGCCGGGGCTGGGGTCGCAGTCAGGACGGAGGGACCCGCCGGGTTGGGGACAGCGCCGAGAGGCGGCCTCGGGCACCGAGGGAACGCGGGGGCCGGAGGGAAGGCGGGTTCCCGGCAGCAAGCAGTCTCCGCCCCACCTCCAACACCCCACTGCCTGGACTCGCCCCCACGTTCCCTTCCTATCCCGGGCGGCGCAGGGCCTGCGGTTCCCACAGAGCGGGTCCGCCCGCTCCTGTCCTCACGGTCCTCACCCCTGGCTGGGAGGCGACGCGCCCCGGGGCGCAGAGCAAGGCCGGCTCCGACGGGTCCGCCGAGCGGAGGGCCGAGGACGCTGGGCCGCCCCTAGCTGGCCGCCGGGACGGGCCCCCGGGCCG